CTAGCATCCGTCTCACTCACTTTCATCTCGTACTTCTCCTCAGCTGCAGCCACCTGCAATAAGCAACAATAGCACAATCCAACTAGTTACAGTAGTTGTACACATGCCACTATACTTACTCGGAAGCAAACAGAAATATTCTACAGACCAGAATATTCTACAGACCAGAAATATTCTACATTCCACTGAAAATGTAGGAATAGATAAATAAATAATAAAAAAATAAAAAAAATAATAATTTAATAAATAATGGCCGAATCATGACCACGCTGACAAAAGCGGTGGACATCTCACACTGGTGGTCATCTTCCGGGCGGCTGCCTGTGCGTCCTTGACCGCATCCTGGACACGGCGCTGCAGGGATGTCTGTCCAGCGGCCAGCTTCAGCCGCTCTTCGCTGACCAGCTGCAGCTGTGTGGTCAGCGTGTCCACCCGCTCTCGTGCCTGCCCCAGCACCAGCCCGCCTTGTCTCTTCTCCTGCTGGTAACTATACAAACGAGACAACGTGGTTGTAGCTGCTGGGAACACACATGCAGGACTCCTCACTGATCCGCATGCAATGATCGGATCATGCCACTCATGGATCCATCTCACGATGCATGGCCATACACAGACAACAGACAGTAGCGGAGATGACAGACAACAGACAGTTAAGAGATGAAGAGACAACAGACAGTTGGAAGATGAACAGACAACAGACAGTAGAGAGATGAACAGACAACAGACAGTAGGGAGATGAACAGACAACAGACAGTATGGGAGATGAGGCAGGGACAACAGACAGTACGCGCGAGTATGAACAGACAACAGACACGTAGGCGCGAGATTGAACAGACAACAGGACAGTAGGGAATGAAACAGACAACGACTAGTAGGGAGATGAACAGACAACAGACAGTTAGGGGAGAATGTAACAGACAACAGACGATGTAGGCGAGGATGAACAGACCAACCAGACAGTAGGGAGATGACAGACACAGACAGTTAGGGAGATTGAATCAGACAACAGACAGTAGGGAGATGAACAGACAACAGACAGTAGGGAGATGAACAGACAACAGAAAGATAGGTGCGATAGTTAAACAATTATTTAGGTTAATTCCCCAAAAGTTGTCAATGAAGTGACTGAAAACATGCAATAGGATGTGCAGACCTGGACTCCAGCTTGCTGAAGCGGTTCTTTAAGCTTTCCAGCTTCATGTAGGCTTCATCTTTCGCCTTCTGCGCGAGTGATATCCGATTATACAATTCGTCAACGCTTGCTAGACTTGCTTGACCGCTGCCCTCCTGGTACACCTAGCGCAAAAATACAAACTCGTCTTTCCATCTCTCATCCCTAATTGAAGACTTTAAAATTCGCAAACTGATTTAAGATTACGTTCAAACCAATTAGTGTCATGCAATAATTTAAAAGATTATTTCAATCCTAATATAATCACAATTAGAAAATTTTAATGTAATTTTAATAGGTAATAATCGGTGATTAATGCGACAATTGCTTGAACAAATCTGCTCGCTGATTCTGCTTCGTGATAAATTAATGGCAAGTGAAACACGAGCGATGATGGAGGTAGACAAACCTTCTCCAGTTCAGCCTCAACTGATCGCCTCTCTCTTACGGCTCTGTCCAACTGTGCTTGCTTCTCGCTGTTATCCTGAAACACACACACACACAGACACTGTTATGTACTACTGCATGAGAACCATCTACCTACCGCTGCAAAAAAAACGTTCCTACATTTGAATTGTTCAAATGAACATCTATGCAATTTTTTTTATAAGAATGTGTGCTTGTATTTACCAGCTCCAGTGCCTGTATCTCCTCCATAAGTCTACCTATATTCTCATTGCACTGCTTCCTAATGGCATCCACCTGAAATATGTAACTGAATAGCTTTACTTACTGCAGGACAATTATGTACTATCAAACATATTTGCTGCACCACTACGTTTTTTAGCAATATTTTATCAATATGACGAGTGCAAATTATAGGACTTGAATGCGATACATACACTGATATACATATCTACTTATGGCAATGTGGAATGATTTGATATACCAGGGCCTCGTTACCTCCTGCTTCGTGCGTACACCAGCTTCCTCCACGAGTTGTGTGAGTGCCTCCTTTAGTCGATCAACTTCGGCCTGCTGCTGCTTCTCTCTCACGAGTGCCTGAAAATTAGACAAGACGCCGGCCAATCGATGGTAAACTTAACAAAACTTCGCAATGGAATATTGTTGCCTTTGTTAGACCGGGACATTCCAAAACTTCATAAATACGCTCTATGAGTTGAATGTGTGCAGATATTTGTGCTTACACGCAATATATGTGTAAAGATTAGCGTTAACTTGTGCAGTGCTCTATTTTGTCCAACATTTTGCATGAGCAAATATTGGCACAAAATACGCGTGTTTAATGGGCTTAAGAGCCATAAAAGAGAGTACGTTTATATAACAAGCTATACACAAATCGTCCTATATAGGTTTGGCTGAGGATGCATGCGGAGCGCCCCCCTCGAGGTAACATTACGTACCTGGTCTCGTTCGAGGACGGCTGTCTCCACTAGCTGCACACTGTCTCTGACCTGTCTGATGGAGTCATGCTCTCGTTTCTCCAACTCTGTCAGTCGAGCCTGGAGGTTAGCTGCAGTCTTATCGCTCTCCCCTCGCCCCGCTCTCATCCTATCCAGCTCATCCTGCGAATCTAAATCGAAAAGTCACACACACGTTATCTGCCCCACTCTGAAACATGTCTTGATATGAGGTCGTCATAATGAAAGCTAAATCACAACCTGTTCCAGAACTACTTTGACGATTAACCGTGCAGCCTGTTCACAATTTCCTATGACATGCATTAAATTACTTCAACTGAAACTACCATCGATGTGCCATGTTGCCACGTTAACGAAGCTTTACAAAGCCGCCAGCAATCAGTGCGGCACTCAGAATACAACCACTCTATCCACACATGGATATCTATTATGGGTATCCTCAAAGTTGGGAACTTGGAGGAGGATGGAGGAGGATTGAGGAGGATGGGAGGAGGATGAGAGAAGATGAGAGGAGGACGGGGGAGGATTGGAGGAGGACGGGGGAAGATGGAGGAGGATGACGGGGGAGGATGAAGGAGTACGAGAGGAGGATGAAGGAGAAGATGGGAGGAGGAGTGGAAGAGGATGGGGGAGAATGAGAGGGAGGATGACGGGGGAGGATGAGAGGAGGATGAGAGAGAAGACGGGGAGGATGGGGGGAGGAGGACGGGGAGGATGGGAGGAGGATTGGAGGAGGAGGATTGAGGAGGATGGAGGAAGATTTAAGGAGGATAAGAGGAGGAGGATGGGAGGAGGAGGATGGGAGGAGGAAGACAGAGGAGGATGGGAGAATAGGAGGAGGAGGATGGGGGAAGATGGAGGAGGATGGAGGAGGAGGATGAATGAGGCTTGAGGAGAGGGAATGTTTACCGGTGATACGTGGAGGAGGATGGGAGGAGGAGGACGGAGGAGGAGGAGAGTGTTTACCGGTGATACGTGGAGGAGGATGGAGAAGGATGGAGGAGGAGGAGGTGTTTACCGGTGAGCTGTGTCTCCAGCTCGTGCGCGTGTGCTTGCAGTCTCGCGAGCATCGCTCGCATAGCACGCTCCTCTGCGTGGCCCCGCTCGCCTCGCGCTCCTTCCATACGACCTCATGCGCAGTGCCTGCCAGTGTCCGTCGCAGGTCCCGCACCTGAATGCCAGAACCCTCCAGCTCACACGACATTTGCCTGAAAAGCAGAGGTATGCACAGAGATGCTGACAGAGTACCGCAGCATCGACTGCCAGCCTGAACTAAAGCTGGGTTTACACAATCAACTTTTTGTTGAAGAGTTGACGAGCTGCTAAACTTTTCAACTAATCACTTATCGACTTTTCCATAGAGTAATAAACATAGCTCAAGGAAGGACGGGCAGCGACGGGAGGGCACATACAGTGTACATTGCATCTCCTGATAGAGAGGACAGCACTAAACATTTAGTGGTAGGAGCTAATGCTTCATGATAGAAATGCCTACAAAATACAAAGCATCTCCTGGTGACAGTGAGAGCAATAAACATCTAACTAGAAGCTAATACACAATATGCCGGATGTGTGAGGTGGGAAATCAAGACACAAGACAGATGCTAGAAATTTTCGCATTTGCCAACATATCACGTGACTCATTGTCACAGCGATGGGTGCGGATCTTTAGCGAGTATGCGAATAACTTACTTCAAACTGCCGCTTGAGACCTTCAACCTCAGCCCTGTGCAACATGTGCCCTGTTCATGTACTGTGCTTCTACTTGTGCAGTGTGAGCCTGCAACTGCCGCAGGTCAGGGTTGTCCCTAGCCTGCTGCAGTTCAGTGTCCAGTCTATGTACCTCCTGAAGAGCTGACTGCCACATCTCTATCGACGACTCCTTGTCCTGGAGGCGTGAGCGACAGTGGAGGAGTTTCATGTGGGTGATTGTTTCTTCCATTTAAATTTTACTAGCTACCATTGTATTCATTGAATTTAGCACAACTTGGCACTGAATCGACTACAGCTACATCAGTTGTAAGGAGGATAAACTGTGCCGTTTTTCCAAAGGTGAACACAAAGTTTAACAAATCAATGTTTAATGACGTACCTGTTTTTGCCCTGCAGCAGCTGCTGTCTCAGCTGAGATATGAGCTGCTCCTGGTTCATTGCTAGGCAACCGCGCTTTTCCACCATATTCACTGCCGACTGAACACTTTCCTTCAGTTCTTTGGTCAACCTCTGGTTCCACTTATTAGGCGTCCCAGTTGCGTTCTTCAGTTCTCTCATCTCAACTCGCAAACATAAATTCCATATTATTTTTATTAGCAGTATTATTATTAATTTTTTGGGAGTAATATTACACACAATGAAAAGCTAATACATTTAATTTCTGATTTCATATGACCTATATACTGCACTAGAAACGTCTAGCAGGCACTGGTGGCATTTCTATGAAATATAAAATTACACAAACAAGCTTTAACCACATGAACTTGTTCTGATATAACAGGGTGAATGTCATGGCGAACGTTTGTATCATACACACAAACTTTATACTCTATGAAGTCTGGAGACCATTATAGTTATATGCGATTACACGTACTATAATAGAAATACAATTTAAAATGATGTAGATGTAGCTCGCGCGTTACCTACCTTATAAGAGTCCAGCTGCTGCTGTTGTTGCCGCATTGTTTGTTCACACTCTTGCATAAGAGGAGGGAGTAGGGATTGACTGTTGACCATGGGGAAGAGGTGGACCCCTCCCTGCTACTCACGAGGCGGTTTTGCTGACTTATTGGAGCCAAGCTTCCTGCCGGTTGATGGGTCCGAATGCCCATTGAACGGCCTAAATCCAAAATGTAGGCATGCCTTATAAGGTATAAAGGGCTAAATCCACTGGGATTTAACTGGATGGCCAAATACAATTGTGGTAGCATAAACAGCCCAGGCATAGAATTACTATCTTTCTGCCTGTAAATTTGTACTTGTTATGAAGATCAAGAGCCATATAAAGAAGGTATCGTGTGTAGAGATGTAAACAATGAAATTAAAATAGTACACGTTCAATATTAATGGTTCTCTAAAGCATCAAAATCACGATAGTGAATTTTGATATGATAAACAATTCCGTATTGCCAATGCAACTAGTGATACATTTCTATATAGACTGTTAATCATAAAATCTGTGAATTTTAAAAGCAGAAACTGGCAAAATGAAAAAGTGCAATGGTTTCGGAACAATCACTAGCAATATCAATCAAATAACGGTTGCTTAACGATCAGTCATTGATAGCCATGGTACAACTACACTGCTCGTGCAGGAACTACTACTGCTGCTAAATATTTTGCATAACTGAATACTCGAATATATTCGAGCGCACACATGCTACTTGAATTTTCTCCCAAGCCTAAAAGTGACTTGTTGGGATTTTGGATTAGTAACAAGCTTTATACACAATTACCAGATTTGGCCGTTACTCGGTGGGTTACAATTGTTGCTGCAATTTAATAAATTAGTAATTACAGCGGGTCGAAATAAGCGAAGGTCCGACTGGTCCGGCGGCCATCAAATAATCAAGAGTAACCATCAGATTTCAAAAGTCATGGTACAATGGACCTTTGAATATTTGGTCCCATTTACGGTAATTTTCTTTGAAGTTCCACGTAGCCAATATTCCAAGGATAGTTGAGGATTTCATGTTGAAGAGTAGATGAACAAATATTTAGATAAGAATGGACATGAGGAGTGTTTGCCAAGAGGCTTATAGTCGCTTGAAATTAACTGCTTGGACTGAAGGAATGTTAACTGTATTAAATAAAAGAAGTGTTGCTTCTTAGAGAATATTTGAGACATACTAATTTACTATATTCCGGTGTTATTTGGTTAACTAAATCTACTGAAACAACTTTTTACAGCCAATACTATTAACAGTGAAATAAATAATACTGTATCGTTGATACTCATTGTTAGGGTGAATAAATATAAACCATTTATGCACCATTGTAAAATCTTTTCTTACGCTTGCATGCCGCATTACTTTTAGATAACAATTTGAATTTAGGAGGACCTCTAAATTTCAAATAGATTGTCCTGTGGTACCATCTTTGTTTTTCTTTGCCTTAATTTCTACCACTGTAATAGTATACTGATCTTGCACACATAATACTGTACGAAACTCATCAACGTATCTAATGATCTGCCTATAACACTAACAATTCGCTTTAGTATCTACGCTACCATGTATACTGTACTTTGTATATGCAAAATAAATAAATACACGGAGTATATTTACTGTAGACTGTAGTCGTAGAGTATGACTATGTCTATGACTATGGCACATACTCATAGGGTCTATGTACCCCAGGGTACTGCCGGAACGTACACTGGCCGGGTACGGAACGGTACCCTGGTAACCATTTCAGTATTTGATATGGTTAGGGTTAGGATAGGGTTAGGGTTAGGCTTAGGCTTAGGGTTAGGGAGTAGGCGTAGGCGACTCACCGTAGACTCGTTAGTGAGTAAAGGTGAGGTACGGTGCCGGTACCAGAGTACCGTACGTTCACGGTTCCGGTATACCGGACCGTACCCAGGGTACGGTTCGGCAGTACCCTGGGGGACATAGACCCTCTCGTCATGAGTTAGCTCTAGTACTATAGCCCGCGTTCATTAACTGCCGCAGGCCTGTTCAGTTAATGAACGCAGGCTATAGTACTAGAGGTTAGAGGCTAGAGCTAGTCATGACTATGAGTCATGACTATGTTATGTTTAGGTTTCTCACTTTCTGCTACTGGAATCTTAGCTGCACCCACAGAATCTCGTACTATACCTGCATTCTTAATACCCCGTCTTAATATTTAATTCCCATGACTGGGAGCTCTTGAATACAACCATGTATCATCATTTTTATGTACGATCTACTTTATCTTTGGCTACAGCACTTTGGAAACACCGCCATCGTTGTGTAACTAACGTCATAAACAAGTGTCACACAAAGATATGTCGCTTAGTACAGTGGAGTAGGAGTGGAAGAGCGTTTTCTTCCGGTAAACAAGAGCACGAATATTATATGGCAGGTATATGTTTTTTACTATCCTATTCAAACATTATTTTGTTATATAATCATGAAAACGGGAATAAACTAGCCAGTGGCAGTGGCCACCAAAGTGGCCACTACTCACTAGTCGCCACATCTCTGATCTGCTCGGGAGGTACCTATCAACACAACATGCGCGATCACCGGCGATGCAAAATGAAAAGCCAAAATGATTGAGTTATGTCATCAGATATGATCACTCCTACACCACTGAGGAAGCAAGGAGCTGCATTAAACTAAATCTAAATATTTGTGCCTTATTGTATTAGCCATATAAAAAATTTAGGTGCCAAGTGGCGTAACGTGCCAACGAGTCATTAACTAAGTGGGTATGAGCATAATGACGTAATATCGATGTCCGTCCTGTAATTTGGCTGATAGTGATAGTGATACTGATAGTGATAGGGTCTATGTCCCCCAGGCCAGGGTACCCTCCGATATAGCTCTAGAACTTTAGCCCTCCGCTCCACCGCAGGGCTATAAAACATACTATGGCAATTTCCAGGTAGTAAGCAAAGACAATTTTTTTGCGGTTAATAACTTCTTTGGTATGCCAAATAAAACACATTCTCTGCCGCACAAATGTCTTAAGTTACTATAAACACTAAAATTAAACCGCAAATTAACGCTTAAATGTTGTACTTGCTATATTATTCGTCGACGAAGATTATTTACCAACTTGTAACCGCCATTTTTCGCTAGTCGCGCTAGTGAGCGGGCACAATGTATTTCCAAGTGGAGGGGTGGGCAGGTTGCACGCGGTTACAAATTGCCATTTTTCGTTGTGCAGCACTAGCGCGGTTTGCAACCGCGTGCAACTTGCCCACCCCTCCACTTGGAAATACATTGTGCCCGCTCACTAGCGAAAAATGGCGGTTACAAGTTGGTAAACAATCTTCGTCGACGAGTAATATAGCAAGTACAACATTTAAGCGTTAGTTTGCGGTTTAAGTTTAGTGTTTATAGTAACTTAAGACATTTGTGCGACAGAGAATGTGCTTTATTTGGCATACCGAAGAAGTTATTAACCGCAAAAAAGTTGTCTTTGCTTACTCCCTGGAAATTGGCATAGTATGTTCTATAGCCCTGCGGCAGAGCGGAGGGCTATACTATAGTTCTAGAGCTATATCGGAGGGTTCCCTGGGTACGGTTTGATATATCGGAAAGTACTTCGGGGTACTCTACGATATGTCGCTGCGTACCCTGCATTGTCCCACCGTACCCTGACTTTCAGCCAACTGATGTCGTATTCGTAATATATGCACTCTGTCAAGTTACCACATCACATAGAAGAAACCTCAAAACATCGCAATCCAGTAAAAATGTACGCTATGTTTGACTATATTTTTCTTTTTCCTTCTTTCAACATTCATGATCTGAGAGAAATCTTTCCAAATGTACACCACCAATGGGTACAGCAGTGCTATCAACCTGCATGTTGCATAATTACACTGTGATACATACAATTTCCAGACGAAATGCAAATACTGAAACGAATATTTTCTGGGAACAGACCGGAAACAAGGAACGGGCGCATAAAGCGGCGCGTTTCCTGCCAACAAGCTGTGTGTATTACGACATCAGTTAGCTGAAAGTCAGGGTACGGTGGGACAATGCAGGGTACGCAGCGACATATCGTATATTACCCCGAGGTACTTTCCGATATATCAAACCGTACCCAGGGTACCCTCCGATAGTACCCTGGGGGACATAGACCCCATCAGCTGTAATTTGACATGCGTCTAAACAGAGGAATTGCTCCGACTTGTGATTGGAGGATAAAAATAGAATTTGTGACATTTTGTTTTCATTTTGGCATTTAGCCTATGACTCGAGTATGAGCTATACCGTGCGTACATATTTGCTAATTAATTAAGCTAATTGCCCATCAATAAACAAGACTCACAGGGATCATAGCTATAAGGCGTGTCTAGACTATAATAGCTAGAATTTATAGAAATGTAACTCAAATCGTTTGCGCCATATGATAGTTAGTATACTTTCCTACCGGTCATAGCATAATAGCGTATGCGGCGGGGTATGCAAAATGAAAAGGAAACATCACCAATTCTATTTTTATCCTCCAATCACAGGTTGGAGCAATTCTTCTGTTTAGACGCATGTGTAATTTGTAAGGCAGTGGATATTTAACCGTATACGGCAGAGTATCCGCTTCCGCTATTTAATGTACACCACATTTGATTGCAGGCCTCGATGCTTATTTTCAGATCTGGTTGTCCTGTCGGGCAACAAGAAGCAATTTTTACTTGTCCGAATTTTGGTTTTACTTGTCCAAAATTTACTTGCAATCTATAGCCTTAACAAGGTACATTTTTAGTTTAGTACATATCATCAGGAGTAGATAAAGGGAAGGAGTGTGACTCCAATAAACAAGGGAAATTCGTCATTTACTAGCCTTATAATACCTACGATTTACTACGCGTAACTCATCCAACTTGAGCTCAAATCGGACACAGTACATTGTGTTTACCGGTGAGCTGTGTCTCCAGCTCGTGCGCGTGTGCTTGCAGCTCGCGAGCATCTGCCTCGCACGCACGCTCCCTCTGCGTGGCGCCGCTCGCCTCGCGCTCCTTCCATACGACCTCATCGCGCAGTGCCTCCAGTGTCCGTCGCAGGTCCCGCACCTGAATGCCAGAACCCTCCAGCTCCACACGACTTTGCCTGAAAGCAGAGGTATGCACAGAGATGCTGACAGAGTACCGAGCATCGACTGCCAGCCTGAACTAAAGCTGGGTTTACACAATCAACTTTTTGTTGAAGAGTTGACGAGCTGCTAAACTTTTCAACTAATCAACTTATCGACTTTTCCATAGAGTAAACATAGCTCAAGGAAGGACGGGCAGCGACGGGAGGGCACATACAGTGTACATAGCATCTCCTGATAGAGAGGACAGCACTACACATTTAGTTGGTAGAAGCGAATGCTTCATGATAGAAATGCCTACAGAATACAAAGCATCTCCTGGTGGAAATGAGAGCAATAAACATCTAACAGTAGAAGCTAATACACAATACGCCGGGTGTGTGAGGTGGGAAATCAAGACACAAGACAGATGCTAGAAATTTTCGCATTTGCCAACATATCACGTGACTCATTGTCACAGCGATGGTGTGCGGATCTTTTAGCCGAGGATTGCGAATAACTTACTTCAACTGCTGCGTGAGACCTTCAACCTCAGCCTGCGCAACATGTGCCCTGTTCATGTACTGTGCCTCTACTTGTGCAGTGTGAGCCTGCAACTGCCGCAGGTCAGGGTTGTCCCTAGCCTGCTGCAGTTCAGTGTCCAGTCTATGTACCTCCTGTAGAGCTGACTGCCACATCACTACCGATGACTCCTTGTCCTGGAGGCGTGAGCGAGCGACAGTGGAGGAGTTTCATGCGGGTGATTGTTTCTTCCGTTTAAATTTACTAGCTCACCATTGTTTCATTGAATTTAGCACAACGTGGCACTGAATCGACTACAACTACATCTGTGTCAGGTGCATAACTGTGCCGTTTTTCCAAAGGTGAACACAAAGTTTAACAAATCAAGTTTAATGACGTACCTGTTTTGCCTGCAGCAGCTGCTGTCTCAGCTGAGATATGAGCTGCTCCTGTTCGTTGCTAGGCAACCGGTTTTCCACCATGTTCAACTGCGACTGAACACTTTCCTTCAGTTCTTTGGTCAACCTCTGGTTCTCACTTATTAGGCGTCCCAGTTGCGTCTTCAGTTCTCTCATCTCAACCTGCAAACATAAATTCCATTATTATTTTTATTAGCAGTATTATTATTAATTTTTTTGGGGGTAATATTACACACAATGAAAAGCTAATACATTTAATTCTGATTTCATATGACCTATATACTGCACTAGAAACGTCTAGCAGGCACTGTGCATTTCTATGAAATATAAAATTACACAAACAAGCTCTAACCAACATGAACTTGTTCCTGATATAACAGGGTGAATGTCATGGAACGTTTGTATCATACACACAAACTTTATACTCTATGAAGTCTGGAGACCATTATAGTTATAAACTTATATCATATGCGATTACACGTACTATAATAGAAATACAATTTAAATGATGTAGATGTAGCTCGCTCGTTTACCTACCTTATAAGAGTCCAGCTGCTGCTGTTGTTGCTGCATTGTTTGTTCACACTCTTGCATAAGAGGAGGGAGTAGGGATTGACTGGTTGACCATGGGGGAAGAGGTGGACCCTCCCCTGTACTCAGAGGGGTTTGCTGACTTGTTGGAAGCCAGCGTCCTGGTTGATGTCCGATGCCCATTGAACCCTAAATCCAAAATAGCATGCCTTATAAGTATAACTAAATCCACTGGGGATTTACTGATCAAATACAATTGTGTTAGCAATAAACAGGCCCAGCATAGAAATTACTATCTTCTGCTTGTAAATTTTACTTGTAGAGATCAAGAGCATATAAAGAAGGTATCTTGTAGAGATGTAACAATGAATTAAAATAGTACACGTTCAATATTAATAAATCGATAGTGAATTTTGAATGATAACAATTGCCGATATTGCCATCAACTAGTGATCATTTCTATTTAGCTGTTAATCATAATCTGTGAATTTAAAGCAAACTGGCAAAAATGAAAAAGTGCATGGTTTCGGAACAATCAGCTAGCAATATCATCAGTAACGGTGTTAACCGATCAGTCATTGATAGCATGGTACAACTACAACTGCTCGTGCAGGAACTATATGCTGCTAAATATTGCAACTGAATACTCGAATATATTCGAGCAATCACATGCTAGCTTGAATTTTCTCCCAGCCTAAAAGTGACTGTTGGGATTTTGGATTAGTACAGCTTTATACACAATACCAGATTATGGCCCTCTCGGTGGGTTACATTATTGTATGCATTTAATAAATTAGTAATAGAGGTCGAAATA